ATTTATTATTAAATTCTTATTGATATGTGCTGCAATTCCTTTTTAGATCTCTGTGTTTGGAGTTGAGTGTGACGCAATCCTGCCAGCTTGTTCTGGATCGTTCCGTCACAGCCTTGTGCTGACCTCCACAGTGGAGCCCAGGGGAACCTTCACAACAGATTTGGCATCTCATTTTCAGTGCAGCAATGGCCGTCCTCTCCTATCTGTCAGCACAGTGCCCTCGTCTTTCTAGATCACATCTCTTAACATCTCTTCCTCTTCGCCTCCTCTTCTCTTCCTATCTTCCTCTATCTCCCTAAATCTCGCCTTGATTCTGATAAAAAACAAACCCAAACAGGCCAAACAGAATATCCATTTTGTCTTCGTCTTCTGCTGCTATGTTTATATATCAGTAAGTATCAGTCTTTCTGCCCTGAAAGCTAAATCTATGAATAAGACAGAACGGGAGAGAAAGAAACCCCTTCTGTCTCATTAAAATCCAGCAGTCGTCTGTAGAGTAGATACAATGTGGGCACAATGGTCTATTAATCCACATCCACTCAAGTCCACTGACATATTTCTCAACCTTTCTTTTACCAAGCAATTAAAGGACAAATTGCTACATTTATCTCTCAATTTTATAATATAATACTTGAATTTAAAAAGGTGATACTCTTTATATCTGAAGAACCGCACCCACTTTACTTCTTTATTCTTTCCTCGTCTTTTTTTTTTTGGTACTTGCATCTGATATTCAAAGGCAGTGAGGGGTTTGATCAGTCACAATTATGGCAGTTATGCATTCACTTTTATTTCTTTTATATCTCAGTACTTACTTCATTATTTCTGTAAGCCCACTTTTCATGCTGTTCCTTAGAGCAGATCAAACCTGAGGTTACTTAGCAATTCTCCAACAGCTCGAAATCATGTTTGTGTCTGTTCTAGCCTTTGTATTTTCAGCGGTAGGCTCTCAGGCGAAAGCCCTGATGTCAGGCCTGCGGTATGTGGGCTTAATCCATGGCTCCCACTTCAGCTTCAGTTTCAGCCCTCTCTTCACTGTCTCGGGGACAACCCGCTGCATCTGTGCCCTTCAGAGGACACAACAGCACTAACAAAGATGCTTTCTCACCCCTCTACCTGCATCCTGGCCCTCCGACTTCAAAGCACAACCCCAAAAGCAAGGCAAATGGTGTTCTGTTTGCATTTATCTCCCACTATCTGTGACCATCGGGGAGATAGGGGTATATGTTGCTGGTGTAATAGGCCCATTGTGCTCTGCCTTGGGTCCTAGTCTTATCTTCATTACACGTTTTCTAAACAAACAAATAAACTGAGACACATTTCTGGAGAGGATGAAGGAAGCTACAGCGTTTTTATCTTTGAAGATTACTTTCTTGTATATATGCTTCGAAACAAATGTTCACTTTGACCATTCGGTGAAATTGCCTCCCGTTGCATTAGTAAGCCCTCTATAAAACTTTTTTTTTCCTCCCCTAGAAATTTAACCTGAGAAAAACAGCGTGTATCCTTGCAGCCTCGTCCTCTGAGCCTCAAGGGGTTTTGTTACGGTTTAGCCATACTTACAGTTTCCACTGGTAGATCGTGACAGGGGGGTTAGCATCAGCCCTGCAGGTCAGCTGAACATTCTGACGGTTCAGGTACCAGTTTCCATCAAACCCCTCGATCTGCACCTCGGGTTCATCTGCAAGGAAAGGGCACTCCTGTCAGTTATCCCTCATAATCCACTGCTCTATTATTGTGCCTTTGCTGAAGGACACTGGCAGTTTGTCTTTCAAAACCCATCCACTTTAAAGTCGCAGATAGTTCATATTAGCTTGAGACAATGGATCAAAAATCATCTTGACCAGATGATCTAAAAAAAAAAAAAAAGATCTAGTTCTTCACATTTAATTTTTACCTTTATGCTACTTTTTCACATGAAAACTGCATATAAAAGATTCAATGGACTAGTAGTGTAAGGAGTTCACAGGATCTAATGGTATACTGCTAATAATTTCAGATAATGCATGATACAAATAATGCTTTACTAGTAAACAGACAAAATGCCAACTGTGTTTATGTATTAGTTACATAAACATAACTGCATTACGATTTTGGCCACCTGGAGCACTTTGGAGTGCTTATTCAGAAAGGACACCTATTAATTCTATTAACACCCACATTACTCACTGTTCTAACAATTATATAGACATTACTGAACATTTGCCTGTCTTAAGGCACAAGAAAATGTATGACATATGAGCAATCATAGCAATAATAACTGCACATTTATACATTTATACATAATTATACAGCTGAATGCCATCCTGGATAATGCTATCTAGCCAGGTAGCATAATAGTCAGTTAACCGCTGGCTCTGTCCCTACGTTCAAGATGGATGTTGAAGAAAAGAGAGCAGAGATGCCCGAAAGTAATATATTAAGTAGAGAAGAAGCTTTGTCTGGTGTTTTGAAGTTTTTTTTCTAGTGGATGATAGAATACATTTTGCAACAATGTTTAAAAGGACAGGCTCCAATGGAGTTTGTTTCAAAGTCTCACTTTGAAAATTTAAGAGAAAATAGTGGCAACAAAAACTGGCATTACATCTACCTGAAAAGCAGCACCAGCCAGCTGTTAATGACTGAGTCTAAAGCCCTGCACCAAATACTAACTGTTGTTAATATACCCTAAAAGTAGACTAGGAGGCTATTGTTTTGGTTGTGTAGTTTAATTTTATTTATTTATTCAGCTTTTTAATGATAACAATGATACTTTTCAACATTTCCTAAGCCTACTTTTGCAAAAATAATATTAATAATAATAGCTTGAAAACACCAGAATCTTGAAAAAAGGTTAAAAAATTTGGTCATCCAAATAATACAGCAGTGTAAAAGAACCATTGCACACTTGCCAACACAACATTGAAAAACAGGTCTTGTTTAAGCATTGATTTTTCTCTAAATACATAATTTTTGGTAAATAGTGTTTGTCTTGAATAATTGTTTATTCAGTCATTCTATTAATTATTGATTCTATTTGTTGTGTCAATAGAACTGGGAAAAATAGATTTCTAACATGCTTAGACTGAGTCTGGCGCTGTAGTTTACTGCTCATTTGTTTACTAGTAATTAACCTTTTTTTTGGCGTAAACTGTGCCGAGTGGTGTCATCTGGTGACAAAATCATCGCGTGGGTGCAGGACAAAATAAAAGCACAGACGAAAAATAGTGAAGTAGTAGGAGAGCGGTGTCTTACACTGAACGTTGAGCACCACGCTGTCTGTGATCTTCTCATTTCGGTACGTGACGATGCACGTGAGCTTCTGTTTGTGGGTCTCGCGGCTCGGTATCACCACATAGTTGCTCCGGACCGTCACCGTCCCATTCTGGTTGCGAGTCTCCTGGTAAGTGGCTTCGCCTTTCAACCTGGTATCCCATTTGATCACGCTCGGGGGCTTTCCATTCGCAGATACACAAGTTGCAACTGTCATCTTACGCTTCTGAGCCCTAGCCACGATCGTAGGCGTCGTCAAGGTCATACGCGTCATGGGCCGAGCTGCCGAGTAGAAAGGAGAAATTAATTTTCAGCAAGAAAAAGAGTCACTCAAGAATGAGCTTGATTTTTTAATTTCACTTTCCATTTTCTTTTAGTGTGTAGCCTTGTCTGCTTTTCTAACAATCAATTTCCTGAAGTAAATTAAACTAAGAAGCTGAGATGAAAATAACATTGTTTTTCTTCCTTCACTCCTCAAAGCTCTCAGATGTAGAACCCACTTGCCTATCCAAATGCGCAGTCATCCAATTTCAATCCTTTGTGAGTTGCCAATCAGAAATCTACTCTTAGCACATCAAAAGGCAGGCTTGAGCTTGAGCAAATGCACAACTGAAAGAGATAGGCTATAAAGAGGCCTCTTTGAAGGCTGCCGGTTGGTTATCTGCACACATGTTCCTGATGTTCACTGAGCCTAAAAACTCAGTCACTGAAGCCTAAAAAGTCCTGGGAGGCCAAATGACACAAAATGGGGACTCGGGGCTGACTAAGAAGACCCGGCAACAGGGACTACTTAAGCCAAGTGCTATTTCTTTTACCGGTGCTCAATAGAACACAAACCAACACTTAATTTCTAATTAGCTCTCTAATCAGAGTCAGCACGCAACCTTTTCAAAGCTGCCTCTTTCCAAGATAAACTACATCTCGAGGACTCTTTTTTTTGCCACAGTACTATTCAAGCCAAATTATACACTCAGAAGTGCTCCTATTGATTTCCATTTCACCTGCCATTTTTATCAACTAACCTCTGCGAAGGTTTCTTGTTTTATAAAAGCTATTAGGCCCATGTTATATGGAATTCACCAGTATATATATATTATTCATTGACGTGGCTCTTGGTGCTGCTCTGCAAGTGCTACAGTTTCAACAACAAAGAGGACAGCTATACCGAGAGCTTCAGCAAACATATAGAAAGCAGCCAGTCTACGGTTTTTAGTCTATTTTACAACACAGCCTGTAGCAATGGGCGTCGAAGAGAAGAGCTGTAAATATGTTTTTACTAAGCCTTTCACTCAGGTTGTCAGGTTGACCCTGTTTTATCTGTTTCAAAAAGGTCAATAGGACATCAAATTGAGCAACAGGATTTTCATTCCTTTGATTGTTCATCAGACCAGCATAAGCGTGCTTCAGGAAATAACTCCTTAACTGATGTTCAGACGTTTAACCTGTTTTTTGGGTTTTTTTTACTCTCTTATCTTGACTCTAAAGGTAGTCACATATACTTCACTGGAAAAGTTACCTAACTTTTTTTCCATAGGATCTTTGTAAGAAGTCACAGATTATGTTAGGCAGGTTGTTCCACTCACTAAAGACATACTTTCTGTTTCCCAGAAGCTGGTAATTTTAAATGTTCCCATTCACTCGGTGGATTAAGCTTAATAATTTGATCTCGCCACAATTTAGGCTTTCTTAGATGTAGATGTCTTGAAGATGGATGTTTATCAGGCAGCGTTTCGGGAATATTACTGCCATTAATGAAATCTCTCACAGTTTTAATGAGAAACCCAAAGGTCCATATATACATTTAGAACATGTTTTGAATGTTCAGCTACTGCTTTATTGGAGATAAGTCTTGGATAAATTCTAGACACAAGCCTGGAGAATGGGAAACAATGAGTGATTAGATTACTAAGATTTAGATCCCTACAGAACTGCTAAAACCAGATTAGGAAAAAAAAATGTTCCTTTCAAATTAGAGATTAAAGCAGAATTAAAATCAGTGCAGTTCTTACCATACACAGTAAGGTTGACCATGTTCTCACGGTTGCCTGCAGGAAATGTGGTATACTCGCAAATGTAGGCAGCCTCGTCGGACAGCTGCAGGTTGGAGAACACGATTGTGGTGTCTTCCAATGAGGGCGTGCGATGACGAACGGCTGCATGTTTGAAGCTGACCCGCTCCTTGAAGGGCGGCAGCACAGACACACCCAGGGCCGGGTTGGCGATGGCCACGTTCTGTTTGGTGCCATTGAGAAGCTTCTGCCAGGTTACTTGGGAGATCTTGACTGGTGGGTTACTGTTGCTGAAAACGCAGCGCAGCTCCACTTGTGAACCCACGAAGCCAGACTTACTGGTGTCCATCTGTACCATCTGTCCACTGCCAGCTAGACACAAAGAGGGGGGTGGAAAGGAAAAAAACCCATTTAATTACGATTAACAAGTGTCCAAGGCCAAGCAAGCACTCCAGTCAATAGCAAGTACATGCACTGAAAGTCAAGGAGTCAATTCAGCCTCCTAGGTAGTACAGGCACGCACAACACTCAGAAGTCAGACTCGTGGATTCAGTCATATGCACCTGTGTGCCACAGATACTATATCTGCCCCCTATACATAAAAAAAGTTGGTTCATGGTGGTGGTTGTGTGCAAAAGCTGTGGGAGTTGTTATTAACATAATGGGCACATCCATACAAGCCTGCCTTTGTCCACAAAGGTGCTGTTTCTGATGAGATGGGAGGGCCGAGCGAGAACCAATGCATCACTAATGAATGAGTACAAGGGCAGTGAGCTGGAGCCAAGTCGTCGTCTGCTGCGCTCTCCTCCACCTACCCGGCAACACACTGGGTAGCCCATTGTAATTTTAATTACTTTTTACTCACAAAATACTTCAATGACTGCCTGGAGCTCCTATTAGGAGAAACAATGTGTAGTCCTGTGTAAGCACTCAAAACAATGAGAACACACACATTAGCTGTATTAAAAGAACCCAGCAATTAGGCACTCCTCCTTTACTATCTAAGCCTGTGCGGAGCATGGTGGCAAAAGAAAAGGTCAATTAGAGAACATGGACCTTCGGTTGAGTCTTTCATGCATATATTGACCTTGTGCTAAACTGAACTGTTGAATACTGTTCTTTGTAATGCGTTTTTGCTTTTTATTTAACATTAGCTGTTATCAGCCTTGGATTAACTGTTCCTTACAGTCTCTATGCCTTTATTAAGAACTGGAAGCATAAGATGGAAAATTAAGTGACAGGAAGAATAATTACACAAGTCACTCCCTTATTCACACATTCCGATTTGTCAGAATTAATCATTTGATACTTTTTTCTATATCA